AAAAAAAAAAAAAAAAAAAAAAAGAAAAAATTTTTTCTTACTACTAAAATTGATTTTGCTCAATGATTAAGAATTTGGCTGGCATTTTGGTAACAGCGACTGATTTGAGCCAAAAGAAATAAAAAAATTATTTACAAACACTGCAACAAACTCACCAATTCTTTGCGATTCGGCAAGCTGGTAAGGAGGAGACAAACAAAATCTGCTCTTCACCCGCTAAATTCAACAAAAATACTCACACTGATGCGAGGGTAATGTCACATTTGTAGTCATTCACCGGAACCATTTGACTATTGGTGGCCGATAGGATATTCGTTCCAACAAATCTTTTGTTTATCAGCATAATTTGTCGTTTTAGCAGTCAATTTTTTTCTTCTAAAAACCGTTCTACCGCTCTTTTTGCAGTCTCTTCACCAGTATTCGGTAATCACTGATTACTGCAAAAGTTGCGGGTCAGTATGGCATTGGTAAAATTCAATTTTTTTTCTTTTTTTATGCCATTGTTTTGGTATGAAGTTTAGATGAATTGAACACTGAACAATTGTTGATTTCTTTTAAGTATTCAGTCGTTCTGTTAATATGCGTGATATTTTTCACATTGACCTTGTAATTTGTGAAATCTCTGTGTTGTTTTGAGTTTACAGTTCTCTGTAAAAAAAAAAAGCAACCAGAAAGAGGAAGAACGTTACATTTAAAGGAAAAAAACATCAAGGGTTAGAAAAAAAGTATGGCTTAAAAATGCTGTTGAGATTTTTAATCCATATTTTTTTTACTTTACTTTTATTTATTTATTTATTTGTTTATTTGTCTATTTACTTATTTAATTTATTTATTCTTTTTATTCGGGGGGCGGGGGGGGAGGGGGATATTTTGGTGTATCCCAAAGTTTTTTTAATCAGTCTATATAAACATTTTATTATTCTAACACTTTTATGGCCCAGGGAAGAAAAACTGTGTGACACAACAGTTATACTTCTAAAAGTTTTAATATTTAGCAATTTTTTGTTTTGTCACTGTACATTTCTGAAAAAAAAAAAAATAAAGCATCGGAACGACAATGATTGTTCATGCAGAATCAGAAATCATTAAAAACGCTTTATTCTCCACAAACTTTTACTCTTCAAAATATTAGAATTCTGAAAAATAAAAAAACATTATTCCTTTTTGTTTCTAATTTACTTTTTTCACCTTTTTAGCTATTTTTAATATTTGATAAATTAATTTTTTATTATTTATAAACTTCATTTTCTTCTTACAGATTTAGCTTTTTTTTTGGCTGCCTTTTAAAGTATCGTTGAAATTAATTTCACAAATTATCCTGTGTCCTTTCGCTGTTTAATGAAGTTTGAAAGAATTGTCAAAAAATGCTCTCATCTGTCGTTTTTTGGTCTAGCAACTTCTGGTGTATGAAATTATTTCTTCAAGCTTTGCGTAACCAAATGATTGAGTTCAAAAAAGAGCTTCAGAGTCATAACGGAAGAGTGGAGAAAAAGAAAAGAAGAACAGTTTTGAAAGGGCTTCAAAAATGTGTTTAAGACAACCTTTTGTAAATTGACAGAAAAAGAAATATATATATATCAGTGTGAGAGTGTATCATTAAAGAACTCATCGTTTTCCAACATCTTCTGGAAGCTCTAATTGCTCTGTGCACTAGAAATTTCTTTTCGTTCCTGTTCTTCTTTTTTTATTTTGCAGTCAAAAACCAAATTAACAGACCTCAAACTGTTGTCTTCTTCTTTATTATACTCTCCGAAATTTGACGATGTTACTGGCAGAGTTTTATCAACTGACAGCCATTGCTGCTTGTTATGCTGACTAAAAAGAAGATTGATCATCTGAAAGCTAATTTGTCAGTACAGTTTTATTGACCTGTATGACAAAATGATTTATTTGTAGCAACAAAGCTTTTTTAGCAATATTTTTCAAACTTTTTTTCCTGTTTGTTCAATGTTTTTTTTCTTTGAATGAAGGAAAAATCCAGTTCAATAAAGTTTATCCAATAGTCATCGTTTGAAGAGGGAAGATCGAGACTAATTAATGACAGGAAATGTTGCACATTTCGTTGCTTCTCTGTCGTATTCAGTAGTATCTCGGAAACCTCAGATTTTTATCTCCGCTTTTTCAGTCTTCGTTTATTTTAAAGCTTCGCTTGCTATAACGTAGCAGAAGGAGAAGAAA